TAAAAAATTATTTTATCTTATTCATTTTCATTATTTTTATTTTTATTTTTTTGAAGTAGACTGGAGAGAAACAGAGAAGAAAAGTGAAAGAACAAGCTGCCAGGTCCAAGACTTGAACTGCAGTCAGCCATGTGGGGGTCCAGGTGCCTTAACCGCCATGCCACCTGCCGGCCCCTAGATCAACTCTTTTAGGGCAAAGAATGAGTCTTCTGTTTTCACATCATTTCTTTGATGCCTATGACACAAAGTGGTTGCAACTCAGTAACTACTAGAAATTTTCATGGTTGTAGGGCCGGCACATGGCCAAAAACCACACTAGACACCTGTATGCATGCCCAAAATCCCGAGAGGAAAATGGAGGAGAAAGAATTGAGGTGTGGTCATCACCCCTGGGGAGGTGGTTTCTCTTTCTCTGCCAAGCACATGCATGCTATAGCAATTGTTTTAAAATGTGCATGGAGACCTACCTCTAATAATTGAACAACTGCTAAATAAATGCTAATTAGTAATTATCAAATTGAGAATTCTAGAGATTTACAAACACTTTGGTGAACATTTCCCATGAAAGCATAAATTAATATGTATTGTTGCTTATGTGCTGGTCTGAATGGGAAAGCCTGCGTCTAACAAGGGAACCAATAAAAAGAGCTAAAATAGCTATGGTTAATTTTTTCAAATCTGCTTTGACTTCTGAGATTTTTTTGGCTCTGGTTTTATTATTTTTCTAGATTACTTGCTTTTCATTCTGAATGTTTATCACTGGTTTTAAGCAGTGTGCATATATAGATCAGTTAAATTGGAGTAAACCAAATAACTAAAGATTAAAACCACTACATCCAAACCAAGAGGTTTAACATGTAGTAATGTTACTCAGATTTTACACAGAAAAAAGCAGAATTTACATACTCTGCCAATATTACACAATGATCGGTGGAAGAACAAATGAGAGCAATGTGAACTTCATACCCATATTTTCACTGTTTTGTTTTGCCTTTTTTTTTTTTTTTTTTGCTGTAGTGTGCTTGCACACTCCCAGAGACAGACAGGGAAAACATGAGAAAGCATTCCCTCTGAAAGGGCTAATAATCCTGCATTCCTTTCTCCTCCATTTCTTCTTTGGGAATTTTGGGCACACACATGTGCTCAGAATGTTTTCCAAGCCACTGAGTTTAGAAATCCAATGATACAGCTGGCCATGTGGATTCCAGTCACCTTAACCACCTTCCTACTGGCTGGCCCTGCTCTGTTTTTGTAAACTATAATGTATTGAACTGATTCCCTATCAGTGTGTACTAGGTCTTTCTACTTTTTAAAATTTTGCTGTTAAAAATATAGTGAAATAAATTTTATTTAAGACATGAATATTGTGCAAATTTGTAGTATATAAGACTATTTTATAGCATGTATTTATCAGACACCACCAACCCCCAAAATATTTTAAATTTTGGCAGTTTGCTAGGTGAAAATATAAGGTTATTTTACATATGAGATCTTCAATTATTTGTTAAATCGGAAATTTTATCATATTTATTTTCCTGTTTAAATAATTCTATTGTGGGTCATGTTATGGTGACATAAGCAATAGAGTGTCAATGCATAATAAATACTTCAGCCACATGGAAAGGCCTGCAGTTTGAATACCGGGTGGATCTGAACATAACAGCTACACCTACAGGTCCAACCATAATCCTGATTGGCCAAAAGACTGGCAAGGGGAAAGATAGTGGCATAGAAAGATCCTGTCAGGGTCCCTGTCTCTCTTTCTCTATAAATAATAAACAAATAAACAAATAAATAGAGTTTAAAAATTCCATTGCATGGGGCCAGCAGGTGGCATAGTTGATAAGGCATTGGACTCCCACATGGCAGATTGTGGTTCAAGTTCTATACCTGGAAGCTTGAAACACTCCAGGTGCATGTGCATGCGTACCCAAAATCCCGACAGGAGAATGTAGAAGGAATTATGCCATGGCAATTGCCCCGAGGGAGTCATGTCTCCCTTTCTCTCTCTCTCTGTCTCTCCGTGTCTCTCCGGCAAGCACACGCAGCCTAGAGCAAAAATCTCTCAAAGAAAGAAAAAAATTCCATTGAGGATAAACTACTCATGCTCTTACAAATTATTCAATTTTTTTGCAATGTATTATAGTGTAATTTATTTTTACAACATGCTGTGTACATTTAAAATACATAATTTGATGGGATTTGACAGATACACATACATCTATGAAATTACCACAACAGTAAAAAAAAAAAAATTATTATCTTTCCAAAGAATCCTCATATCCCTTCACATTCTATCCTTCCTTTAGCTAAATCTTGATTTTGCTTGCTTCTTTCTTTATTATTTTATTGTATTCACTTATAGTATACAACATAATGTTTTGGTACATATATCCATACTGAAAAGATTACCACATTCAAAAAAGTGAATAGGGCTATTATCATAAGTTTGTTTCTTGCCATTATTGATCATTTATCCATGTTTTAGAATTTTAAGTACAAGTGATCATACAGAATATATGACATCTGTATTATAATGTTCTTCATCAAAGTGGGAAGTTGGCAGCCCTTTTTTCATCAGGTATACATTCTACCCATTTCTCATGTTCCTTCTGAGTCCTCAGTTGCACAAATATGCCTTTCTATATTGTCTAAAAACTTCTCAGGTTCTGATCATTTCTCCTCAATTTTTATCTCTTTTAGGGGAAGAAGGTTTGGACAACTTTAACCTATTTTAACGTGCATTGATTCTTTTTTCTGCCATCTTCATTTTGTAGACTAAGATAAGGGTAGCAAATTGATTCTGTGCAGTACTATTTTTTTTTTGGAATGCAGTCGCTCGTTTATTGAGGGCCAGAGAACATTCTTATATACACAGGGTAGGAAGAGGGGGCGGGAATTGTAGCGGACCTGACTGAGGACCTGCCTGAATGAGGAAGTCTCAGTGTAAATTGTCTACTCCTTGTATGAAGGTCATGTCATCCATTTTGGTGCATGTGGCTCCCCACATGTCCCCCTTCTCTGTTTTATAGACTGGGAACCAGGGGGAGCTGTGCCTGTCTTAGGTTGGAGTCTTATTAGCCGAATGTCCTCAGTTACCCGTCATGGGAACCACCCACAGCAAGATGGGTGTACTGAGGAAGTGGCAAAAGGTCAGCTAGACTCTCTTACCCGTCATTGGCTAACCAGCTCAGCGCCTCAGGTCAGATTATGATGTTGATCAACATTATGCATCTCCAGTCTAGCGTAATGGACCTGAATAGGTCAAGAAAGGAGGGAGGTAACTTGTTGGCTGATAAACGTTTTTAGTCTTTGGAAAATGACCGGACCCAGGGAGCAGACAATTAGTAGCCTGAGAATTGGTCCAACAGTACTATTTTTTAAGAGTAGATTTCTCTCATCTCTTTTGTCAAGTTCCTAGAAATCTTA